AGGCCCGGTCTCAGACCGAGCCGCGGGGGCGTTGACCCCCGAAACCCTCTCCAGGTAAACTCCAGGTATCCGGCACTGTCAGTTTGTAGTAACATGGTTTGCTAAGATACTCTTTATAACCCCTGAGAACAGTTCTTCAGGCCCCGGTGATTTGTTTGGTTTTAATCTGAGAACCATGTCATTTGTGACTTCGATCGTGTATAACTTATTTTCCTCCCGACCTACATAATCTTTGATTTCTGGAATTTCACTAGCAACTGCCCGAGTAAAAAAAAACGAGACGAAATAAGTGTTAAGAACTGTATACATTTCTTTGCTCTTATAGACATGAAACTTTTTTTTTTGTTGGACTTTGATTCCATTGCTACCTTAATTTTATAATCCATTTTGGCTTTCGTTTCTTTTTATTTCTCTTTAAATGAACATGTGGATTCCTTAAAGTGCCCCTCTCATCTTTTTATTCGCCCATAAATGCTTCTCTTTTGACCTATATGATGTTTGTTTTATCATAGTGCTGATCCACTTAAGGTCATTTTTGTTTGATCTAATTTTCCCCCTCTGGAACATACGTTGTCTGGGCAGCTTGAACCATGCTTTGAAAAATGTCATATTGGCAACTATTTCTTAACCTGCTCCTCAAGACAATCACCTGTCAGGTCACACCAGTCCGCTCTACCTAGATAATTCCTGAACCCAATGAAATCGGCTGCACAAAAATCAGGAACCCTGACTTAATTATAGTTATTAAAGTAATTCCAAATACTGAAACTGAGTGATTTGTGGTTGCTTTCCTCAAGCTCATCATTATCCTCAAGATTTCCTTTCAAATTGCTCCAGTCAATTTGGCTTAATTTAAATTCTCCCCTTGAAACATTTTCATATTTAGTAATCTCATTCCATAGAATTTACCTGGGCCTGTAAATCACCCCCAAGATTAGTTTTTCATGTCCCACAAGAAACTCTAGTCACATTGTCGATCGCTTCCACTTTTATATTTTGTATAATGCAACAGTTTAAATTATCTCTGACATGCATCACCAAATATGTGAAATCATTTATAGCCTGGTATGTGGCATTCAGAAGGCATTTTTCAATCTTTCAGGTTGAATCAGGCCTCCCTTATTGTAATATGTTTTCTGCACATGCAATTAATCTCAACTAATCTCTTATTTCTAGCGCTCCTATTAACATCTTAAACCTTGAGAGAGTTAGTCACTCGCAGTTCTTTAATGAATCTTTGTTGACCAATTCCTTTGCTTATATTAGTAACTATATGATGAGCAATCATGTCTTTTGATTATTTCCATTAGGAATCTTTGCTTTCATTCCTCATGCTGCAACCTATTTCTCACACCCATGCTTCTACCTTCTATCAGTTTCAAGTGCTAGACAATTCAGCGAAGGCCAGCTCGACAGAGTTGACTAACGTTATCATCCCTGTAGCCCCATCCACTGCATAACACATCATGTTTGCTAAATAAATTATCCCAGATGTTAACGGATAGGACTGCAAGTTCTTTGCAGTACTTGTTTAGCCAACAGTTTACATCAAATGCTCTAGACATCCATTTATTGCTCACTCTTATATATGATGCTACATATGAAAGTGATCAATCCCTTGTACTTAAATTTATAGCTGTTCTGTACTTAATTAGCAACTCCCATTGCCTGACTTGATATTTTCCAACCCGCTGACTATGTAGCCAACACCAGCTCCAGGGAAAACACACCCCTTGTCTCGCCTTTCTATCCCTGTTACAATAGGCATGGTCCATATATCTAGCCTGCAAGCTGCCTACACACAAAAAATTTTCTTACCTTTATTAGCAAAGTTGACGAAACCTTTATCCTTTATTGACCACTGAAGTACATTCGTCCTGGAGAACAGAAAAAACGATTTCTTACCTTAATATCTGCTCCTCTAACCTTCTTCATTTTGACGTTTCTATTTTTACCGGAACCTAACCAAACCTTAGCTTCTCTGCTTTTGTGAGAACCAAAGAGAAGACTGTGCTTATCCAGTGTTGGTGCTGGACCCCCAGGTTACTGTGAACAATATTGGTGTGGGTGTGGCCGTTACTATCGTAAAGTCAAGAATAGGTTTCTCAGGTCAATAGGTGATCAGCCTCTCTTGCTGCTCTAGGTGCCCGTCTCTCACATAACAAGTAAAGCATTTTTCCCTATTGATACATGTAATGGCGGATCACAGCAATAATTTGGCAGGCCAAATTTGGTTCGGGGGTCACATCTTCCCCACCACTTGACCAGGAAGTCTAATTTTTTTTTTTACCAGAGCTCTACGGCCGCCTTTGTGCAGAAAATCTAAATTTTAAGGCCTCTCAGATTTCACCTGATCTAAGATCATTCTCCAACAAATACCGAGTACTCGTGCTAATGGAATTTTGCATCTCTATAAATCAGGAACGCTAAGAATCTGGCCCAAGTGCTGTATCTTTGGGCAAATTTTCCGAGTTTTTTTTTTTCCTAATTCTATGGGATTTGTGCTTATGTCAGATGTATGATTTGTAGGCCTGGAAGAAATAGTGGAAAAAGTGTCCTCCATTCTACGTACTTTCATTTAGTGGGTCACTGAACATTGATTCATACCGTTTTAAAATGTTGCTCAAATCGTTGTCGTCATCAGAGCAAGAACCTCCTGCGAGTGAAGTAATAATTCTACAGGTGGTTCCTGAAATTTTCAAGATAATTAACCATCTTCCATATCTTCTTAAAACCGGGAATTCCTCGGCCGTTTCTGACGGTGGCTTATATACAAAGATAATTAATAAATAGAAAAAAAGTCAGTACTGAAAGACGTCACGAGGGAGACAACTGGGAAGGATGGAGTCAGAAGGATAGAGGCTGACAAAGTATGGCTCGGGAGGGTGAGAGCCAAAGATAAAGAGAAATGCATTTTTACACTATCTTTCGGTTCAAGATTCACAATGGTAGATGTGGTGGACGTGATGAGTAGTGGTGGTGGTTGAGGTGGTAATGACTGTTGGCGTGGTGGTGATGCTGATGGGTGGTGGTTGAGATGGTGGAGATGGTGATGGTCGTAGTTGTGGCTATCGTTGTTGTGATGATGAATCGTGGTTGTCTTTGTGGAAATGGGTGGTGGTGTTTGAAGCCGATAAATGTTGCGGTAGTTGAAGTGGCTGGTAGCTGAAGAGTGGTGATGGTTGAAGTGGGTGAAGGTTGTTGAAGTGGGTGATGGTAGCTGAAGTGGGTGGTGATGGCTGAAGTGGATGGTGGTAGGGTTGAAGTGGGGTGGTAGTGGGGTAGGGTGTTATGATGGTAATGGGGTGGCAGTTGACGGTAGGGTGGTAGTGGGGTGATAGTGGTAGTGGGGTGCTGACGGTGGTAGTGGGCTGGTGATAGTGGTTGTGGGGGTGATATTGGCTGAGGGCGATAGTGGCGGGTAGTGATAGTAAGGGTGGTGGTATGAGGGGCAGTGTGGGGTTGTGGTGATGGTAGTGGGGGTGTGGTTGTGGTGGTAGTTGGGTGGGGTGGTAGGGTGGGGTAGTAGTGAGGGTGGTGGTGGAAGAGTGGGGTGGTGGTGGTAAGGTAGGGTGGAGGTGGTGATTATGGGGTGGTGGTGGTACTGGTGTACAACAAAGGTGGTATTATCCGCCTGTTAGACAATGTGAAGAATGCTAGGATGGCAGGATGTGAGAGCTGTAATGTAGTGGCACTCTGGTGGTGGTAGTGTCACTGATGGTCGTACTTATGGTGCCAAGTCGTACGGATAGTGGCAGTGGGTGGTTTTATTGGATGGCACTGTGTTAATGGTAGTTGATGGCACTGGTGGGGTAGTTGATGGCACTGTGGTAGTAGGGGTAACTGACGAGTGATGGTAGATGATACTGTGGTGACGGTGGCAGTCGATGGTAATGTGGTGATGGTGGTAGGTGATGGCACTATGGTGATGGTTGATGGCACTGTGGTGAAGGTGGCAGTTGATGGCAATGTGGTGATGGTAGGTGATGGCACTATGGTGATGGTTGATGGCACTGGTGGTGGTAGTTGATGGCACTGTGGTGGTGGTAGTTGATGGCACTGTGGCGGTGGTAGTTGATGGCACTGTGGTGGCGGTAATTGATGGTACTATGGTGGTGGTAGTGAGTGGCACTATGGTAGCTGATGGCACTACAGTGATGGTAGCTGATGGCACTACAGTGATGGTAGTGCATAACACTGTGGTAGTGGATGGCACTTTAATGGTAGTTGATGGCACTGTGGTAGTAATGAGCAGCATTATGGCGGTGGTTGCGAAAGTGGCACTGTGATGGTAGTTATGAAAGTGGCAATGTGATGATGGCGGTTGTATAAGTGACACTGGTGGGCGTAGTGCTAGTGGTATATACTGTGAGTGGGTGGCACTGACGATTGGGCGGTAGAAATACTGTGATGGGTATGGTGGTGGTGACAGTGGGGACGACAGTGGTGGTGGTGAGTGGTGGTGAGTGGTGGTGGTGAGTGGTGGTGGTGAGTGGTGGTGGTGGTGAGTGGTGGTGGTGAGTGGTGGTGGTGGTGGTGGTGAGTGGTGGTGGTGAGTGGGTGGTGGTGAGTGGGTGGTGGTGAGTGGGTGGTGGTGAGTGGGTGGTGGTGAGTGGGTGGTGGTGAGTGGGTGGTGGTGAGTGGTGGTGGTGAGTGGTGGTGGTGAGTGGGTGGTGGTGACAGTGGGTGGCCGCAGCTGCGTCAGTGGATGGCACTGGTACTTCTCCGGTCAGCCGCTAGGTGGCACCACCACCACCTCACCCCAGAAAGTCGGCATCACATTAAAACACCTTTAAATACTTCAACAAATGCAAGTTTTACCTGTAATTCACATCATTTTAAAGGTCTTCTTTCCTTCAAGACAAACAAAAGATGGTTTTTGTTAGGTTTTCTCAGAGGGGGAAGAATTGAAATGCGAGGAGCCACGCCCATATGGAGGAGCTGCGCGTAGTAGCTACCATTACGCCGCCCCGCCCACGCCCGCACGCCCATGTACTTACCCAGCAGCAGCAGTTTGATATCCTTGGCCGCCTGGATGCCGTCTTCCTTCAAGTTCTTCTCAATCTGTTTGCTGCGGGCCTGAGCAGCGCGCTCCTCCGCAGACATGGCACAGCCCATGGTTGCGGCGTCGGCTACCACTGAGCCACCAGGCTACACGGTGCTGCCCACCTCCAGCACAGAGCAGAGTGGCGGCGGCGCCACAACTCCAGCACACTAACACCACACTCACACACACACGCCACGCAGGAAGGGCAGCCGAGCTCCGCAACTAAGCCTCGCGCACTGCACACTGAGGTGGTTACCAGCGCGCACCCTGCCCACAGCCACCACCTCCCACACCCACTCTTATTATCACTCTCCTCCACACACTACACCCTCACACACTATTTACAAGCAACATATATAACTCCAAAACACTAATGTAAGTGTATAAGATGCTATATGAAGCTGGTGTCAGTGATGTAGGTAAATTGCAGTGGGATTATCCTACGCTTGGCTGTCTCTCCCCCCGTCTCCTCCCAGGCGCACGCGCACTGGCCACCACGCGCAACACTTGCATCCAACACGCCTTACTCACCTTAATATTTCCACCTTCCACGTAACACATTACCTCAGTATTATAGCAACCCCATACAAACACAACTCCATTCTTAACATCTACGAAAAATTCGAGAAACTGGAAACTCGGCAAAGACACTTAAAAAAGAATATAAAATAGGTATGTTATCACCTGTGGGGCAGGGCAGCGACACCCGCTACCACTGATACTCCGGCCTGTGGTTAAAACGTATCAGAAATATTCATCTCGTAGTCGCAGCTTCCTTTCATGATACTCCGCTGGATTATTTTTTCGCTTGCTACTCCTAACAGACACAAATTAAACCCTGGAACACAAATGAAACTCTCCAGTCTTATTCAACTGAGATTTTGCTACAAGTATCAATATATATATATATATATATATATATATATATATATATATATATATATATATATATATATATATATATATATATATATATATATATATTAGTAACCACAGACGAGTGTTATGTCATCAATAACAACACTGCGACTTGCCGAGGACTCTAACCCATGTCGTTTTGGCCCGCCTCATGGTGAGCGAAAATCACATGACGTCTGATCACTAAAGCTCTCGCTTTGCACGGCGAGGGTCTGCGTTCGATTCCCACAGCGGGTAGAAACATTGGGCGTGTTTCTTTACACCGGCTGTCTGTTCACCCATCAGTAAAATGGGTATTCAGGGATTAGTCGACTGGTGTGGGTCGCATCCCGAAATGCCCTGCATAACAAGAGGCTTTATAGTAGTATGTCATTGATGTCAGCTAGGCCTGTATACCATGTACATGTACTTGTAGTAAATAAATATATTATAGCCCACAAGACCACGAAATCCTACAAGAATCACGCACCCAGCAGAGCTAGGTGTTTTACCTTGATCCGAGGGCATACGGTGGTGTGGGTGCCTCAGAGTTAATTTCATTCTACTCCCCGTTTGATGTACTATATGCAGGCTAGTACACCAAACGGGGAGTAGAATGAAATTAGCTCTGAGGAACCCACACCACCGTATGTCCTCGGATCAAGGTAAAACACCTAGCTCTGCTGGGTGTGTGATTCTTGTAGGATTTGGTGGTCCTGTGGGTTAGAGCGTCATGTGATTTTCACTCACCATGAAGCGGGCCAAAACGACATGGGTTAGTCCTTGGCTAGTCGCAGTGTTATTGATCACATATAATGTCGTGCCGAATAGATAAAACTTCGGATTTTGGCTTAAATAGCAACGCTCTTGTTGCCGAATAAGACAAGCGAAAATTTGTGTATGCAATAATTTCGCAAAAATCTTTCAGAACCTAACGAAAAAAAATTCATTGTTTATAATTAAATAATTGTAAACTTATCCAAAATATATTTAGTTGGATTAGGCTAAATTAAATTGAGCTTGTTATAATAAGGTCAGGTAAGTTTTCAAAGTTTTCTTTTGGTACAGAATTAATTTTTACATTAACATAAATGAAAAATCTTTAACGTATAAGAGAAAATTTTAGAAAGGACTTAATTTTAAACGAGTTCTTGCTAAGTGACCTATATATATATTATATATATATATATATATATATATATATATATATATATATATATATATATATACAATATATTATATATATATGGAGTCTACCTGGAGGGTATTCGGGGATCAACGCCGCCGCGGCCCGGTCCACGACCACGCAAAAAGGCAAAAGGGCGAAATTTTAACAAACATTATCTCTGTCCACAGCAGGAATCGAACGTGCACACTCTGTATCAAATTACACAGTACTTTCGCCACTCGGCCAGGTCTGGGATCTGGCTGAGTGGCGAAAGTACTCTGTACTTTGATAGAGTATGCAGGTTCGAATCCTGCAGTGGACTGATCATATACATATACATATCAGCCTACCTTACTCTGAGAAAAGTTCCTCTTATTCCTCCCGTTGCTGCTCTTGCAACAATTCGTAGTTCCTGATGATGCATGGAGACGTGTGAAAGATCTTAAGCTGAAGATTTCCATCCCCTATGGGCCTACATAAAAAAAAAATCCGAATCTACTAAAATATTTTTTATATGTGAAAGGATTAAGCACATATTCAAATGAGTATTTAAGTCCAGACTTTGGAGAAACAACTGTGTATGACCCTTGTGGGCCTAGCGCTTAGTTTTTTGAAGGAAAAACATAATTACGTGGACGGTGGAGGTTAATTGGTATGGCAAACAATACAACACTACGAGCACACTAATGCATACACAGGCACACACATTATTCCCCAGGGCAAGTTTAGAAACTACAGGAAACAAGTTGGGTGGAGAGGTGAGAGCAGGATGGAGGCGAGACAGCAGCAGCCCACACGGCTCAGGTACACCAACAGCAGCGCTACTTTAACGAAAACTCGCAACAATACTTCACACAAAGTTCATCATAAGCAAATAGCAATTACCATTGTGAATATTACACAAAATAAATTTAAAAAACTGTTCTTTGTATTTAAGCGCACAAATGTAGTGTCAGGCACGTAAAGCAATTAATTAACATATTTAAGGAATAAATTGTTGCAGTTTATAAAATAATGAAGTCGACTCGAAAAATCTCCTTGTATTTAAGTATAAAACTAAAATGCCTATACATAAACCTTTTAATGTGAAACAGGATAAAATAATTGACGTTAAACATAGAAGCTGGCTAAAATAAATCCAATTAACAGAGGTTCACACACAGCTCATTAAAGCTTATGGCAGTTTTTTTTTTTTTTTGCGAAGTTCACTCTCTTCATTCACGTGACAAATCTCTCCATTTTAGCTCATAAACAATATTTTTAACCAAACAACTGTCGGTAAAATGTAAATTGTATGTAAACATGTGTGACATATAAACACATATTGTTGTGTATCGGAAAAACGAAATTATTTACATTTATTTAAGGCCAGCTGTATAGCCCTTGTGGCTTAGCGCTTCTTTTTGATTATAATAATAATAATAATATTTAAGGCCAGAGGAGGCTGGAACCTACAAACACTGAGATAAAGTTTACACCAGTTTTCACATCAAGCCAGACATCATATAACTCTGACGACCAATCTTTGCAAATGCTTTTCTTTATAATGAACAGATGACGCTGTATATTTGTTCAGTAACTTTGAAACCTTTGTATTATCGTTGTGTGTGTGTGTGTGTGTGTGTGTGTGTGTGTGTGTGTGTGTGTGTGTGTGTGTGTGTGTGTGTGTGTGTGTGTGTGTGTGTGTGTGTTTGTGTGTGTGTGTGTGTTTGTGTGTGTGTGTGTGTGGTTAAACACCTTGATTACTGGGAACGTTTGAAGTCCCTTGACCTGTACTCCTTGAAACGCAGGCGTGAAAGATACATCATAATTTACACCTGAAAATTCCTCGAGACTGGTCCCAAATCAGCACACAGAAATCCCTTCCTATGAAAGCCAACGACTACGCAGGCGGTGCAAAATACCACAATGAAAAGCGGGCTGTTGAACAATCTTCAATCGAGAGAAAAGTGGAGATTCATAACCAGTACCTCACCAGCCGGGCTATACGGCCAATAGTAACAACCTATTTGATCAGACCGTAATTTAAAATTTTTTTGAAAAATTCCAGTTTTTAAGGAAGTTCGGCCTATTCGAGATTATATATATATAATATATATAATATATATATATATATATATATATATATAATATATATATATATATATATATATATATATAATAATATAATAATATATATATATAATATATATATTATATATATATAACATAATTATATATAATATATAATATATATATTATATATATATATATACAAATATATATAATATAATATTATATTTATATTATAATAAATAATAATAAATATATATATATATATATATATAAATTTAAAATTAAAATTTTATATAAATATATTATATATTTTTTATATA